CGAAGAAACATTAAACCTATGAGATGTGCAGGAATGAAATGTAACCCATTGTGTACGCTCAGCAAGATATGATATAAAGAACTTTAGAAGGCGGCCGGAAAAACCAAATTTATATAATTTATTTAAAAGAATATCCTGGTTTACGCTGTCGAAAGATTTTGAAAAGTCAGTGTATATATGACATTAGACACTTAGGACAGAGCTGTGTATCCGTATGACTTATCCTTATCGCATTACGTTAGGCTCCTCCCATTTTACGTATTATCATGCGGATACGTGTAGCCTTGAGAATAAACCGATGTACGCAACATAGCTTTACGGTTGGGTTATGAGAGTCTGTGTATTTGAAAAATATTCTAAACGTCAGATACACTACCTTAGAAAAACACAGTTCTAACTAAAGCAACCTTAACTCACAGCATACGTATACGTATCCGTGACAAAGTAACGTTTACGTAATACGCACACGTTTACACAGTGCTTGTCCAAAGTGTCTATTATATTGAATTGCTTTTTCCAACGCTTTCGATACGTTTTGTGAGAATTCAAGTAAATTTGTTACAGTGCTCCTACCCTTCATAAATTCATGCTGTTTAGCGGAAATCTCACCGAGTGCTATTCATCATCAAGACTCGAAACCAAGCTCGAAACCGTTACTGTTCATAGTCACGCAAGTGGCGCGTTTTGCTAGTGCGAATGTGAACCGAGCCCACCTAATGGATAGATGCGTTTTTTTAAAAATCGAACATAGGGAAATTACATTGCATACAAAGTCCCATGTTGGCATTTAAAAAAACTCACTGTATGTAATCACGAGTGTATTCACATAGATTACCTAAATTAAACAACCTGACTGCGGTACAACGTAAATTAGTTTTTAAAAGACTACTTGTAGTCCAGGAGGCGGCGACATTTTTTATGCACTCATTTTTCTACAACTGTCAAAAAAACCTGTCATTTTCTAACGGATTTCGAAACGCGAAGTACTAGATTTTTAAACGGTTAATTAATAAGTAAGGTTGCTATTGACAACGTGCGCGAAATCGTCAACAGTGAAAAAAAGTATTTCGCGCACGTGACAAAGTTGAATTTAAACAGCAAATTTAATTAACAATCGGTTCAGTTGTAGAAAAAATATTGTATATAACGCTAGCGCGAAGTTATTTTGCGCATTTGACAGTCTCAATACGCGAAATTGAACTTCGCGCTCTTAAGTTATATATAACTCTCGCCAGGAAAAATTGCCGGTCACAGCACACCTTGTGTCGATCTACAGTCTATGTTTTTCTTAAGATGCGAGCGACTTCCGGAATAAGATCGTGCCATTGTTGAACGAAAAGTCTTTTTGTTCAACATTGACACAATACTATCCCGGAAGTCGATCACATCTTTAGAAAAACATAGATTGTAGACCGGGATCAAGTGTTCTGTGACCGGCAATCTTTCCTGGCGAGAGGTTTAATAGTTATTTATATAACAGGAGCGCGTTGTCAAGAGCAACCTTACTTATTATTTAACCGTTTAAAAATCTAGTACTTCGCGTTTCGAAATTCGTCAGAAAATGACAGGTTTTTTTGACAGTTGTAGAAAAATAACTATTGTCTACCAATCGCGTGATGTTGCTAAGGTCTCGGTCTAGGTCTCGGTAGACACGCGGGAAGGTACGATTTCCCGAGCGCAGCTGCTGCACTGATCTGCTAAAAGTACCTCGATTTTGATTTTCTTTTTGGATTGTGCATATTTGGTAGGTATACAGGGTGCCGCCAAAAAATCGTGCAGAAAAAATATTTTTCCTTAAATAAAAATACCTGTGTATTATTGCCGAACCGCGTGATCGCAACGTGACTGGACCAATAGTGTGAATTGGCCTTAAAGCTGAGTGCGGAGCGTCCCAGGTCCAATGGTCTCGGCATCCTCGCCTTTTTGGTTTCTATGCGTCCTTGTTCTTGGATGACGATTATATTACTTCAGTTCAGTGTCCCCGAGACTGTTTATAAAAAGTTTAGTTCTTGGAAAAGAGGTAAGTGCGAGACTCGTATTGAAAGTCATGTTATCGGTTGGAGTTGGAGGCCAGAGTATATTGATTTGCTATTTCATAGAGCCAGCATTCTACCGTGCGTCTATCGTTTCACATAGAATATAGTAGGTAAATAATTATTTCGCAATTATTAATATATTCTTGTTTAAACCAATAGTATTTAATATTTCTTTAATAAATTATTTATTTAAGATTTTGTACAAAAAATTAAAATTAATAAAGTTTGTTTTTTCATTTTCTCGTTATTTTTTGGCTGGGGCCCTAAGCACGTGCTTAGTCTGCTTATGCATTATTAATCCGGCCCTGTAACTTAAGTTGTAAAGTTGTCATTGCAGGTAAAGTGATTTAGTAGGTACTTTTTGATAATATTATGATATTTGTAGAGAATTATCCCGTAACCAAATGCCAAAGAAGTCCCCAGAACTATACTTTTTAAAAAAACGTTTCAAAACCCCCTCGTGACACTCGTAACAGCTATCAATTAGCGAAAATCCGAAGTCTCTGGATGGTCAAAGGGCCGAGATCTCGATGGAACAAACATGCAGACGACAGAAAATTGAGCACATAAACGTTACCTCAACTTCGTTTGTGTTACGAAGTGAAAAATTGATTTTAAATTTTTCGCGTGCGAAGAATACAAAAAATACGATACGAAACGGCTGTGACAAAAAATGAAGTACGTCTTCTTGAACATGCTTAGTTGCGATATTAAAAAGTTTTTTTGGATCAATGGGTCATAACTAAAAATTTGGTTACTGCGACATGAATTTTACCAGTTGAAAACGTTATAGCAAAATGTTCACTTATGTAATGAAAAAGTTTATTTGAATTTCCCGCGAAACAGATATTTTGTCTGAACAAACACGAGAGGCGTTGTAGTAATTTTTTTCCACTCTACTGACGTTTAGTTGTTAATATTACATAATGCGATAGTCCAAACGTCTTTCCAATGCTAGTTAAACCAAAATTCTGTTTATGGTTTCAATGTGAAATGAAGTATACCCTCGGAAGTAACGCATGAAATGAAAAAAATTGCGGTTCCGTATTTATGAAACAAAAATTTTTGTACTACATGTGTTACTTGCCACCCACCCGGTGCAGTATAAACAATTTCAAATCTCTGTATAAACACAATGCCATAGTTATTTTTATATTCTACGGAAAAATAATAACTGTACATATCTAACAATTAATGTCAACAGCTTATTTATTATCAGACCATGAAAAATGTATACAGATTTTCCATACAACTGGTCAGCCATCCGAAAAGGAAAAAATTGTATATTTAGTTCTAAAGTCTCGAGAGATCCCAGATCAATTGGTATTACATGGCTGATATTCGTGCTTTGGTACTAAATAAAATAAAATGGATAATGTTTTATAGTTTGCGCGTTGATTACAATTCCGCCCAGTGAATATTAAAATAAATAAACTAAAATAATTCAAAAAGTAATAAAAAAACTTGGTATTCATACGAAGAACCTCCATTTTTTAGTTTATCCCTTAGAATTAAGAAACGTGGATACCATTTTACCAACTTTTTGACATCGGTCACTTTCAGTTCTTTTTTTGATTATTTCTAATGGACCAGAATTTTCACCTCATCTAAACGTAAGTTTAACAATCACACAAAACTTCAAAATTGTTCTTATTTAACCTAGTCTCTAACTTCAACAATAAAAAATTAATTACCCGCAGTATTATCCCAAAGCGCATTTGGGGTACTACTCCATTTGTAGTATTTTTACACACATTTTCTAAAAATGTAACACAGATATACATATAGTTATTCTAAACCCATATGCATTAGTAGGTAATGCACAACTTATTAAGTAGTTCAATACAATATTGCTGTACCTACGCTACCAACTTTCTGGAAGCTACCCAGTTCTGGATGCATGATATATATTCAATATTAGGATGTATTTACATATGTGTCAATATTGACACATCCTGGACATGACTTATTGTTTGGGATTGTTTGAATAACTACCTAAGATTTACAACGTATAACTCGCGTGTATCTAATGATTTGCCTACATTTATCTATCATTAGTCGCGCTAACGCAATAAATTGAATCCGTTGGTGAATTGTACAAGATAAAATATTGAAATATCTAACAGTAGGTATAGGTTACTTTAGAAAAATTAGAATATATCCCATCAATGCAAAGTAAGGTTCTTTCTAGTGAAATCGGATCTCAAGTGTATATAGTAACAGTACTCAAATATATATCAAACTAACTATATGGAAATCAGAAAAAATATGGCAACACGACTGTTTGCATCGCCCGCAAACCCGCAAAAATGTTGGGAATGTTCTGTGCCGAAAAATTTGCGGCGGTTACTTCAATCATATATCAATTAAACATACCTACAGCGTTCAATTGTAATCAACCAATGTTTAAATCGGGGTGACGGTGCAGTGCAGATCGTACCCGGTTACGAGTTTCAATTAAAAAAGTCCGCTGGCTAATCCAGAAGCAAAATTCGTTTAGCGGAAATTATTAGACTGGCATTAAAAAATTTTAATTACGCTGCGTTCCTATTTTAGTTACATCTTGCCGAAATTCCACTATAAGACATATCGTTATTGAGGAAAGGCGAAACTGTCTCACATTGTTAACAGTGCTCTTACGTTTTAGAAAAATCGACAAAAGTTGATGAAAAACGACACGCGCTAATTCCCATTAAATGTCTATTACTATGTTAGTATTTACTAAACTAATGATCACTACAGGGTCATAAAACAGTAGCACTTACCGATGTTATTTTTCCGTTCAATCAGAGAAAACGAATTAAGTTCTAAATAACTAAGTTAACAATTCACTCAAATTTGTTAAAAATTATTTAAAATTTTGAACATTTATTTGCAAAGCCATGCACTCATAATACGCCAACAGTTGGTTGCACGTCTTCAACAAAGTTGAAAGCTCAGAAGTAGATCATGCTGGATACTTACATACGGGTGGACAGACAGATGCCGCGACGCTGGACTGGCGTTAGTCCATGGCGGGCAGGTCGCCCAGGCGCCTGCCGCCTCGCCGTGCCCGTCGCCTCTGACTCACGCCTCGACAACGCTTTCAACTCCTACAACTCGCGATTGCGCAAGGATTCGATAACCACGCGCGGACTGGCTTCACCAGGTCACCAACGTTGATATCATCCCCGCCGGCCCATAAACCTACCCTTCATTGGCCGGCTCACGCATGCCACTTGTTGCAATACTACGGCAGACACTTACAATCTGTAAAAGATCGCCGGAATTGCTAATAATTCTCCGCACAGAAAGCGCGCTGACAAGAACACACCTCCCAAATTACACAAAATATAAGACAGTCGATAGATCTCAACGTACAAGAGGCAAAATACAAAGCACGATAGCGCGTTCAACCCTTACTCCGGCTGGTTTTTCACGTACTTTACGATACGCCGTTTTTCTCATTTCGGTCGGTTTCTGAAAGCTGAAAACCCTGCGCGCTTATAATTCGCAATACAGCATTGCGAGACCGATAGATGTCGACGCCTAATGGCAATTAAATTTAATTTAACAACTCGATGGGCCGTCCGCCGAAATTGCGCAAAAAATACGAACATTACTGAGTTTTTTATTGGTTTTTATCTTTCCCTTTATTATCTAATTCGAGAATGCTATATTCTAAAATAAAACACTTTTCGACTGCACACAAATCATATAATTAAAAATAATTCATGACAATTTAATGGGGAGGCTTTCATACGTATTTTCGTATGCCTATTTCTTGGTCTGCAATAAATCTGTACTTTGTTACATTTCTCATATAGTTACTCCCTTAGAAAAGCTTTTCATATGATCGATGTTGACACATTAAGGCCCGATTTTGTGAATCTATATGGAACATAAAGTAGGTTGATGCATTGAAAACTAAAGGAGAGTTATTTTCGATTAGGATAAGAATGACCGTAAACGAACTAAGCAGGGTCGTAGCTAGAGGGGGGCAAGAGATTTTTGAAAATTGCCTAATATGACGCAATATAGCATGATCAAAAGAGGCGTATAGGATCAAAACCGGACATGTCACATATTTTAACAAAATGAAGTGAGATATACATTTTGTACATTGTGGCGTGTTTTATAATAAAATGAAGTCAGTTTAGTTGCAATCCGTACATTTCCTATTAAAATCAGGCTTGAAAATTGCCATTAGATTCAAAAGCGAACATGTCGCATGAAATTCTGATGCAAAAACGGACATGTCCATTTGAACCAATAACGTTCTGGCATTGTGTCATGTGATCATGAATTTATTGAGGAAGTTTCTTGCATATAAGTGGCGCGGTCCCTTTTTGATTATGTTGCAATTGCGTTAGTTTTTTTTTACTGAAAAAAATAAGCATAGGTATTGTAACTCAAAAATCCGTCATATTTAGTTTCAGAACCAGACATGTCCACATTTTGGATGCAAATTCGGTCAAACCCTAATTAAATTAATTAATAACTCATTTAATAATCAAAATACCAAGAATTTTATGTTTCGAATCCACTGGACAGATTATTCCGTTTTTTGGGAAACCATAATCATGTGACATATCCGGTTTTGATCCTATAGGCCTCAAATATAGAGGAAGGTGCTTGGTATTCGGAATTATGTAACCTATTAAAATTGGACAATTTAATGTTTATGTATAAATTATTTGCTCTGTATAGGGTGACTAAAATTGGTCGAGAGTATGGGGTACCTGCCTCTAAAACTATAAGTGATAGAAATAAATTGACGTCGCAGTCTGGATGTATTTTTTTGAGATAAACTTTGTGGTAGCTATCCTCATCCTTGTCTGGCACGTTGTTGGCATAATCAACCTTGTCTGGTACGTTGTTTTGCAAAAAGCATAAACGCTACATGAGTGAAACACGCTGAGGTATACCTACCTCTACCCATCTCTCTCGTCACGGCGCCCTTGTCCCACTTACGAGTATAAATAGTAGTTCAATATATTGTAGACTTTCAATTTTGATACAAATCAGAGTGCTTTGATGTTTGTTATAAACATGAGTTCAAAAGTATTGGATGCTGGTGAGAAAATCAAAGTAGGCGCATTTGTATGAAAATTGAAAGTCTACCATAACTTTTAATGCTAAACAACATTTTTTAATACATTTTTGTTATACTGTGCGATTAAAAATGAGTTACTGCTGTCGAGTCACCTTTGGAACTTTTGTTTACATGGGAAATCGTATTTAACTTGAACTTCCAAAGGCGACTCGACAGCAACTCATTTTTGATCGCCCGTTATCTGCTTAAATAAAGACAGTTTACTCTTGACTAGTTTTTAGAATTCGGCAAAAAAACACCCCTGTATATTAATTGATTTGGTTCATTTTTTTTCAATATCTTAGTTTGAAACTAAGCATCAGGAGCGATCCTAAGAACATGAAGATCCAACCCTAAAAAAATTTGTCATGTATGTACCTACACCTTATATGCGCTCAATCCGGATCCAGATTTCTCATCCTTTCCTTGGCCTGTGGCGAAAATCCAAGTCTCATTACCTATCTCGTCTCCCTACGGCTTTCTCTTTCTACAGTCTTTTTATTTGCTGCTCGATCACCTCTCTTGTTATCTCATCTCCTTCAACCTCGTCTCTTCCTACCTCTTCCATATAGGTACAGTAAGACAAAAGGAAATCAGATTGAAATGATTTCCTCACTGGATTGAGACGTCTCCAGTCTTTCTGTAGCCAAGATGCGTTTAGGTTGATAATATAAGGCAACTTCTTTAGAATTTAACGCTCTTTAACTTACGCGCAGGTGGAAATAAGCATTGCACTCGTATTATATTTTATCCGAAAACCCTGTTTAGCGCATTTCCACAAAAATAAAAAAAATGCGCTATTGTGGCTACTTTGTCCGTCCGTCCGCTCGTTTGTTGAGACGCTATTAGTTCTTTATCTTAAGAGCTATTGTTCTACTTTTTTCCCTATTTGGTTCGTTATGGTATCGAGGCTTGTACAAAGGAAGGAATTTTTTCTGTGTTTATTGCTGAAAAAGTTATGTAAAAAAACCAAAAAACCGTTTTTTACATGTTTCATAATTTTACACTTTTGCCGTTTATTAACGATCCTAGAGCTCGTTTATAATTTCATATTACTGTCTGTCGTCTGTCTGTTGGTCTGTCCGTCTGCTCCTTTGTCTGTCTGTCTCTCTATCTGTACGTGTGAACGATAACTTTGTTTAGAAATGTCCGATCGCTTTGACATCTCCGTTAGTTATGAACTGAATTGCATGAAATTCAATATGGGCATAGCTTCAGCCACATAATACGCAATGCCAAAAGTTGAGTCGAATCGATTCAAAATTCACAGTGACCTTTTCGCATCTCGACCATTTATAAAACGAATTGCAAACTTTTTTATTTATAAAACTATTTCAATGAAATTTGATACATAGGCACTTGGAATAAAGGAAAATCAAACGCCAGTTTCAAAATTTGGTTTTGCGCATGCGCACTTGCCAACTTTCTTATTTATGAAAGCATTGAAATGAAATTCTTCTTATAAACTGAAATTGAAGTAGCACGTCAAAAACGGATTGCACATGTGCAACCTATCTTTCATATTTGTGGCCGGATTTTTGCGATTTTAACAGAAGTTGCATCTTACAAATGGGAAATGAATGCAAGTGGAAATGCGCTTTTTGTAAATCGTTTACCATTACTTTTTAACTAGTTTTAGTTTGAACGATTGTGACTGCAAACAATTTGCCGTAGGTCAAATTTACGACAGCAAACCACACGTATACGTATACCCTAGGGGGAATGAACTAGAATCAACGTGAATTAATTTGAATTAACGGAATTAATTTGAATTAACGGAATTAATTTGAATTAACGTGAATTAATATGAATTAACGTAAATTAATTTGAATTAATGTGAATTATTTTGAATTAACGTGAATTAAATCGAATTAATGTGAATTAATTGAAATTAACGTGAATTAACGTGAATTAACCTGAATTAATTTGAATTTGAATTTTTGGTGTACACCAAAAATTGTATTTGCTTCCCCCAAGCGTATACCGCTCTTCCGAGAATGCAACGATGAGATTAATAGGAAGCGCGTATTTTCCTATGTGAAACAAATAATATTTTTCAAGTTCTCGGCTTATACCTACCTACTACCACAAATCCCTAACGTTATTAAAGCTGTAACTGTGCGGTGGCAATTAACTTTAGATATTAGAACGGTTTTTAACCAAATTGGAACCGTAACTAAACTAAGTATCTTTTTATTAAAATTTTAAGAGTACGTACATATTTTGATTCTTCCTTATTTGAAGTTCGTCCAATAGGTCCGTACTCTAAAGCTTAGAAATTAATCAACTTTAGAAAAAAAAATCTAATTGGTCAAAGACCATCTGTAACATGGTATAATATAAAACATCTGTAATGATAGTCGGGAAAATTACATAATACTGGCGAGGAAATTTTCAGGTACGAGTACTTTAATTTCTGATTCAAGTAGTAGGTTTTGTATTACATTTTTCCTGAAATCGTCTTTTTAAATATAATATCATTGAATTTATAACTATCTATAAATTCAATGATAATATTTGAATTTTCACAGAGAACTTTTAATTAATATCAATGTGACATGCGATGCGACAGGAAAAGGAGTTAAAGACCTGTAATCAGTATTGTAATTTTATTACCTTTCTCAGTAGTAATTAGTAACCATATTGTAATCATGGTTACTAACGTAATCACGAATATTAAGGTAGGTAACCATGATTACAAGAGCAAAATTTAGTTATCTTTAAGGCTAATTCACATCGTCGGTCAGACCAAGGTCCGCTCACAGTCTGGTCAATTATTGTAGCGTGTATTTCTATGAACATGTGGCATGTGCTGACCGTGACCTGATCGTCAAAACTCAAATGTAAATATTCCTATTGAAATGGCATTTTTACAATATTTTGAGTGGAGCGTGAGCAGAAAGTCACCTGAGCTATAGTATGAATTGGCCTATGCTATACTATATTCATTTTAAGAAATTAGAATTAGAAAGCATAGGGAAGCTTTGACCTTCAGTGTGATTGGTTAAAACACGAGTCAGTATTACGCAGAGACTTGTT